TTAGTTAGTTAGTAGTATATATATATATATATATATATATATATCGATCGATGTTATATATATATATATATATCGTGAAACGAGTATCGGTGCTACGATTATCCCTCGCGCTTGACAAGGGGTGAAAATTTTTGTTTCCACGATTTCGTTCCCCCTCGTCGACACTTAAAAGTGACACTCGCGCAAGATCGTAAGATCGAGGGGAGCGTAAGAGCGTAAGATCGTACGGAGAGACTATCACGGAGGAGACTATCTTGGCAGAAGTGCGATCGGTTTTGTTTTTTTTTTTTTTTTCCCCCTCGAAAGACAAGAACGGATCATCGATGCCGATTCGCTGCTCTTTTTTTCCCGACGCGTGTACAATCCTTAGTAGTTTTGCACCGTTCCCTTTTTTTCCCCCAGTTTCTGTGTGCGTGCAACGCGGAACAAAGGCCGATCGTTCTTCTACTCTCCAATGCCAAGTTCGATTCCGACGAATTTCTTTCCTCTCGTAATTATTCCCCAATATATCGGAACACGTGTGCAAGTGATTCTTTTTATTTATACGCGTAAATGTATATTTTATATATTTTTTAATTTATATGTGTATGTATGTATGTATATATGTATGTATATACGTGCACAGTCAAATTGATACTAAGCGTTGCACCGCATTGCCAGCGTTTTGTTTTGTTTTCCAAGCAACAGGCGGCGTTTCAAAGCGTGTCAGAGCGTGTTTCATGCACGTGAAGTCGGTTCAATTTCGACGGAGGAAAGCGTGAAACGCGATTTATATTTATATCTGCTTTTTCTTTTCTAAACTTATATTCCAACAATAATTTTTGCAACGAAATTATACAATGGTATTTTCTATATTTTCTCGTCGCTCATCGTGTGATTCTACTACTACGACGAATCGATCATTCAACGATTCGATTGTTTAACCAATTGTCTTGTGCGATGCGACGTAGATTTGTGTGTATATATATATGTATTATATACACGTATATAAATTTTGTCAAATGATAGGTAATCCGTATTGCATGAAGTGCGATGAATTCGATAGCAAAACTACATTTACATTGTAATTGAATTCGTTTCTTTTATACATGTGTATATGGAAATGGAAGAAAATAGGTATGGATTATTAACCCTTTGCACTCCTTCATTTTACCTACACTTAATTGTGTGAAATTATAACAAATTCTTTATTTACAAGGTATTTGAAAAAATTAGATTTAAACATTTTAAATTATTTTAAAAATTTTTACAACGTTAATAATTTCGAACCATACACAGGAGTCCTAAGGGTTAATAATAGGATAATAAATTAAAAAGAGAGAGAAAAGGCTGAGAGTTAAATTTTCGATGAAATCGTTCCGCGGATATTGAAGCAAATTGAACGAATCTGAAGATCCATCTAATTACTCGAATACTTCTCTTAATGTAACATGGATTTTTTGGGCAGCTAAATCCGCAATCTAATTCGATTTAAACCGACGAGATAAATAAGAAATCATGGTTGCAATCGTCTTTCGCATAAAAATCGCGATTTATGACGTATGACAGATGCCGATTGTTAGGGTGAACGGAAGCGTTCAGACGGCAATTTTCGTGAGATTCCGCGTATCGGTCGAAATCGGTCGATATACGATTCTCTTCGAATCGAGATGGCTGATGAAACGTAGAAAACAAATGATAGCATTCGCACGACAGCTACATGAAACGCTCGTTCGAGGACACGGCATTAGTAGGGATGGGATCAAGTTCGATTCTCTGACGACGAAATAGAACAGACGTGACATCTTATGGGATTTTCCGTCGCATGTTCTGAAATATCAATCTCGAAAAAAAAAGACCAAAGGGTCGCTCGCGCCATCTAGTAGACGTAGTTTAAATACATACGTGAACGAAATTAAATTATTCAAAAAAAAAAAAATTAGTATATCTCATAATTTTAGAAAATGAAACGAGAACGTTATCCATCCACGATTAATAAAATATGGGAAGAATATACAGTCAATTATTATTTTTTATAAAATATACAATTGTATCACTGACATTAGCTGTACAATGATACGATTATATATCAAATATGATTTTATCTTGGTTGTAAATTAGAGAATCATTCTGACCACGATATTCCTTTTGCGAGAAAATTTATTTATCTTTAAACGCGTTATTTAAAAATAAATAAAGATTCTCTTTCGACGTATATATATATATTGCAGCGAAACGTGTATAAGCAACAAAAGAAAATGCAAAGAAAATCGGCGTTGAAGAGTAGATCTGAATATAAAATCGAAATTAGGAGATATTCTATGGATATTTTACGTTATTATGGAAAATGAAAAATAAATGATAGTTAAAAGGTGATAGAGAAAAGGAAAACTAAGAAAAAAATAAGCGAAACAAGCTTTCTACAAAATGCCATCCTACTTTATCCTATGTATTAATTATCTATCTATTTGTCTACAACTACATATTAAATTTATCTACATGATTAACACTTTTAATTCTGCATGCAGTTAATTCTAATAATACGTTTTACTTAATGTTTTCTTATAATGCAATCGTTTGTTCTTTTAAAGAACATTGATGAGATGAAACAAGATATTAAAATATTTTAAACATTCTATCTAAAAGCACTTTTCTTATCCTCACTTAAACAAGAACTAAACATTTTGATTATAAATCTTGCCTATTGAAAATCTATTGCCTATTGAAAGAAGATTCTTTCATAACTCTACTTACATTAATACTATCGATATTAAATATTTTAGGAATTTATGGTACAACATGAACCACATGTTGTGCCATAAAAAATGCAAATAAGAAAATACCAATGATGGCTACTGAACTATATCACATAACCATCAAATATTAAAGGGATTTAGAATGAGGAAGTTTAGACAAACAACTTATAATAATACTTTCTTGGAAAAAAGGAATATTATTTGGTGGAACTTTGAAACAGGAAACAAAAAGGTATCTTTTAATAAAAGGAAGAATACAACACCTATCAGAAAGCTTCTTTGATTCTACCTAAGAAATGAAAGATATATCTCTTTTTGAAAAAAAGAATTTCTTCTCTCTTATTTCAACTGAAGAGTTTCTAACAAAAATAAAACAGAATTAATAACAGATTTAAAAATAATTAGTCTCTATAAATGAAGACCAAGCATAATCTTCTAATCCTTTTTTCCCATTTATCTTTTTCAATTTATATCTGTAATTTAATTATTGGATGAAATGAATAAATTTGTAATTAACTAGAAAATAATTTACATTTTCCAATTAATTATAAAAGAAATATTATTTGAAAAAATTCAAATAATATTAAGATAATTCATAATTTTAAAAGAAAACCATTCGTTCATAAAAAAATATACTTTTAACAGTATTTTCAATAACAAATGGTCTCAATAAGGGGATGCTGAAAAGAAAAAAACGAAGAAGAGGTAACCAGAAGGGTTACCACAATAACTATCCACTCAATGTAAACCCGAACAAACCGTGAGTGGAAAATCTCTATTCTTTTCGCAACACTAATATACTAAAGTCTCAGAGAAAACACGAAGAGTGCTTTATTATATTTGCAATGCAATTTTCGATCAACAAAAAAAAAAAGAAAAAAAAATAGAATAGAAAATTCGCGAAAGCATACACCTTCAATAAGATGTTTTATCTATTAAATATTTACGAAACTCTAATAAACTAATTTATGCACTCTTATTACATTATATACGCAACACTAATAGCGGAATATTGCAGCTATCGCACGCTGCTAGCTTGCAGTACAATCATCTTTCTGCAATTCTTTTGATT